GCCAGTGGGCCGTTACAAAAGGTAATCTAGCATATCTAATATCCCTGATCCTGTCGGTTGGGGAGAGTATCTTGAGGATTCTGCACTCAGGCATCAGGTCTTGCACTTTGTTTCAATCTCCTGAGAGGAATCGAAGTCCAGGATGAACCGCAGGCAATATGCGCCCCGCACCAACTTTGAGACAGAACACAGTAAGGCAGGCAATGGATGAACGTGCCTAACAGCTAGACACTTGGCCATCGCACATTCCTCCCAACACCATCGTCGCCATCTTGACGACTGGCGAAAGGACAGCCCTGCTGGTATTACCACCAGCACATTGACACTTTTGTGGACACTCAATGAACTTGTGAGAAGGAGATACTGTGATAAATTGAACAGAAAGCCTGATTAAACGGCCCCCCTCACTGGTTAAGATACTGCTCGAACTTGCCACCATAGCGCTGTCCAGCGATCGGCAAGCTCTCAATCAGCGCCCAAATCTCCTTTAAATCGTCGTCGCTCAGCTCCACGTCTACACAGTTCTGCACCACTCGCTCCGCTTTTGTCGACCCAGGAATCGGGACGGCTCCCTGCCGCCGCACCCAAGCGATGGCCACCTGCGCGACCGTCGCACCCTTGCGCTCGGCAATCTTCTCAACCGCCTCGACAAGCTTAAAGTTCTGGACGAAGGCGTCCGACTTGAAGCGCGGCAACATGTGGCGCATGTCGTTGGCGGGGAGATCCTCAGGCTTGCGGAACTCGCCAGTGAGGAGGCCACGACTAACGGGGCTATAGGCGACTAGAGCGATGCCGACTATAATATTTGTTAAAGTTAATCATTGCTGTAATATGAGAATGCGGCCCGGGATGGCAAAAGACTTACGCTCGTGGCATGCCTCGGCGACACCGTTGGTTACGGCATCGGGCGTGAAAATGCTGAGCTCAATCTCGACTGCAGCAATTGGGTGCACGGCGTGCGCGCGGCGGATGGTCGCGGCGCTAACTTCGCTAAGGCCGATGCCGCCGATCTTGCCTTCCTTGATGAGTTCCGCGAGGGCCTGGACGGAGGTTTCGATGGGGACATTGGGGTCGACTCTAGCGCACTCGAAGACATCGATCTTTTTGGAGCCACCGAGGACTCGTACGGCCTCTTCAACAGAGGCCCGGATGCCCTCCGGACTGCAGTCCGGGATGTGTGTCTTGCCGTCGTAGGCGCCCTTGATGCTGAGGACAACCTTGTCGGCATCCTGCGGGTTTTGCTCGAAGTAGTGTTTCAGTAGGTGCAAGGAGTTTCTGTCAGGAGTTCCGTAGTGGATTCCCTGCTTTTGTGTTAGAACCTTACACATCAAAGATGGCTTACTCAATGGTAATCCTACCCCGTTCCAAACGTTGGCACCCTGTTCGAGCGCAGTCTTCATCAGTTTGGTTGAAACAGTGAAGTCAATCTGGTCCCAAGGACGGGTTAATCCTGTGCATCATTGTCAGCAAAAGAATACAGTCTTGCTATACCTGTTTTTGAGCTTTATGAACTCACCCATCAGTCCGTAGCCGGTTGGCCCAATGGACTTTCCGACAATGGTCTTGGTGGCTGTAGTGGAGCTCATGTTGACGATGATCAAGATTGAGATGCCAAGCTTCGAAAGGGTATGGTGTTCAAAGTGTAAGGTTAGTATACTAGGTAGATATTTTAGACAAATGCTGGATTGATAATGTTCCAAGGCCAGAATCATTGAGAGGTAATACAACTGCATATATATACATTTCGTTTCGATCCAAGCCATCGCGGGCATCAAAAGTCATTGCAAGTATGCCTACTACCTTCGGTAGTGCTTAGGTAGTGTCCCCAGAAATTAAGTCCGGCTAATTATCTCCAGGCGTATAAGCCGGGGTCGGCCGCCGCCTCTGGCACTTCAGTCGGTCTCGGGTGGGCCTTGGTAGGGTTCACGGAGCTTACGATAAGATCCGGTCCGTCTTACTCACAGGCTACTGCTGGCGGTGCAGGGGAAACCTCATCTCTTATTGGGCGGTTCTATCGGATTTAACTTGACATATGCTCTCAGTGACGACGCAGCACTCATAAGCGTTGACCAAAGGTCCTATTCGGTGGGCGCGGTCTACCAAAGGCCCAAATGTGAGTGGATGCGTTTCCACTGTTAACTTGTCTGCCTAGAAAAAGAAATATGTAGATCCCTTGGGCATTAAAAGATGGAGAAGCAGCCAGGCGCTATGGTACTACCTGAAGATAACCTATACCTGTATTATATGACATTTCTTGTTAATATATCTATACAAGGCGAGGTTCAAACCCTGATATGCTTTCGTACTCAGTCTTTGCCATCGCCTCCCGAATCTCGAGACTCGTCACGACAATCTGGACTTACCCGTCCTGCCGTGATTGATCTCTTCATATTGCTGCAGATAGAGCCCGGGTGGCCACTGGCTTTTAGAAATCGGCGGCTAATCTTGCTAAGTTGCCTCATTCTCTTAATGTCGACCCTATTCCGATTCGTGTCGTCTCGCGAATAAATTCGGCGTTGTTTCTTGCACAAGGAATCAGTAGTTGGACCTTAGCCGTAAAGATCTCGATTTGCTAGCTACATTCCACGTCGTTAAAGGCAAGATCAGGCTGCTTAGCATTATTTGACTTCCCCTGTAGGTCGTATTCCCCGTCTAGCCCAGTTGCCTGGGAGTAACCATAGTTTCCTCTCTCCTTGTTCAATAATGCAGCTGGAAGATTGATCGCCCGACCACCACTAGCATACTTGTGCCATTTCCGCGTTCCCGCGCTGAAGGAGGTGCAAACACATCGCCACATCCAGGTGTATAGTTACCATATGTATCCCAAGAAGCCCTTGTGAGTATCTTCAGCCATGTCTCCCATACTCGTGTGACTCCGGCGTGTCGGACCGTCAAGACTTAAGCCCGTGCAGTTATCAATAAAAAGCTACAGCGGGTAGGTACAAGGACATTAGGCTTTGGGTTGCGCATCCAAGAATAAGCTATCAACATAGTTTAAGAGGAGAATTAAGTCACACACCGTGTAGGTTGTATGGGCCTAGAGCAAATAATGAGTATTAAGCGACGAACGGTTGGAAGCAGAGTTACGCACCTTAGGTTACCAAATTCAGGCGGACCCGTCCGTTGTCATTGTCATGGACTTATTCAAACAGCCCGTCAAAATGAAGTTGCCAGGGATATAAGCTACTGCTTTGATCAATTGAGAAAGCAAGGATGTTGCCCTAGTGATGCCTGACGTTCTCAGCCGTTTCTGTCGATGTATATATCGACTGACTCAGAAATTACTGGATTTTCACGTAGCAGGTTTCTGATAGACCAATCTTGCGATCACAATCTGACCGGGTCAGAGGACCCTCTCACTAGTGTAGTATTGCGCGAGACGAATTAGTCCGCGCCGCTCTGAGACTTACTATTGAGAGCGAGAGCGTACTTGAGCGGATTAGGGTAGGTACTGCCATTGATTGAGTGGATATGGACGTAAGTCACCGTCAAAATCACCGGGGGAAGTACCGGCAAAAGATCCATCATTTCGGTATAAAATCCTTTTCAGCATCTAGTTAGCATGTTAATCTACCGAGAGAGGTTATGCTCTAACATCAGAGGAATGTTGCTTCCCGGTAGTGTAAACACCAACATCCACCTGTGACTCAGTCTCTGCACCCTCTCTGCTTCTCACAAACTTGCTGGGCTCTTTTACCTCACGTCTAATCATAAAATTCTCGTGACCTCTTGTCATAGTGGCTGCCATACGGACGAGCGGTGAGCTGCCTTGCTCGGCCGTTCGCGTAGCTGATGCTTTTGCGAAAGCGAGGAGGTATCCAGGGAGACCCCATATGCTTATCTACTCACAAATCCCAAATTTTCTTTGAAGGAAGCTGATTTCGAACAGAATGGCTTGATATTCTTATGGAGCTGTAATTTGCATAGGCCGGGATGGAAATTATTGAGAATAATAGCTTCGATTTTGTCACGACTCTGGGCCATTAGTACGCGGGCAATGGCTAGTGCCCACATGACTTCCAGCAATCTCGACAAATTATAACAGTCATTCAAATGAGATGATACATCCTTACTCAGGGCTCCGAAGATCGACGGCTGATTCCTCTATAGAAAGTTGACCTTCATTGTTCACCTGGGGAGCATTCACATTGCGAAGTCAAACGCACGGTCATTATTGGAGCGGCTCTGTCGGCTCCGACGGGACCAGGCCCCCAGCAAGCCAGGAAACACGCAGGCTCAAGGAATAAGATGCTGAATAAAGAAAATCGTGAAGTGTTCTAAGTTTCTCCGTGACGTGATTTTGTAGACGTGAGTAAGTAAATTTGTGCTTTTGTTTGTGTTGTAACTTCTCTGTATTTGCTGCCGAAAACTTGTATGCGCCCATCGAAAGGAAGGGCATTTTCACGTATCACTTCAGGGAAGGGCAATCTCGTAGTTACTCCACAATTTGCCGCTAAAGCTACCCGCAATCTTCGGAGAGGAGCGCATATCAGCGCTTGCGGCTAGACTCGAGCACGAACTTCCCTAGTTTTACACGTCTTCACAATATTCCCATAGCATAATGTCTACCTAGGTGGTTGTTTAACATATCTTAGCCTCCACCTGAACAAGTTCTTGATCTTGGCAATCCCACTAATTCGTCTTGGATTGAAACTTACACGCCTTTTCGGGAACATGGATATATCTATAACAAAGATCTCTTGCCGAACTACTCTATTTCGCCACCAATCATGACGGCGACTTGCAACAATGAGGCCTCTCATTCCTCTTTCAACCCTGTTGTCATCTTCTTCTTACTGACTGGAACTCGCAGGTTGACCGTCGCCAGATAATGTAGCAGACGCCTAATCGCCATTGGAGCGTATCCAAGTGATGTCTGTATTTCGTGTCATGCTTTGCAATATCGATCAATGATATATAGTAGGAATCTTAGCCGCATTGTGACTGAGTTAACGCCATTAACAACCTTAATCTTTCAAGACTTTGACTTTAGGCAAACCATGCTCTATTCTCAACTCTACGGCCTCGTAGCTACAGCTACTGTAGCAGGGGCGCTTCTGCTTCAGGTTGACCCTGGAAGTCCTGGCCACGAGCTAAGCCCTTTGCTCCATGGTCTTATGTTTGAGGACATTAGCAATAGTGGTGACGGAGGTACAGTTGACAAATGACCCATCGAACATAAAGATTGGCTAAAACATGAAATACGGTGATAGGTCTCTATTCACAGCAACTACGTAACAACGCATTTCAAGGCGGCGTGACCACCCTCGACCCTTGGACAGTTCATTATGGCGCGGCAGAAATCTCTCAAGATGCCGAAGCGCCGCTAACTGGCGCGATTACCTCGTCCCTCAAGATTACCGTTCCCCCCGGCGCCGGTGGATTCACCGGCATTGCAAACCCTGGGTATCGAGGCATCATCGTGAATGGCGGTTACTACAATACCACTTTCTGGCTTCGTGGTGATTTTCAGGGCGATGTCAAAATCCGTCTTCTAGGCAATGAGACTGATGTCGAATATGGCTGGGCTATCATTCCCGTGGACTCCAAGGCTGATTCATGGACACGATATGAAGCCGGATTCTGGACCACAGCCTCCGCCGATGGGAACAACCTCTGGGTTTTCGAGATCTTAGCGGAGACTCTGACTAGCGGAAGCATCAATCTTGGTTACCCGACCTTATTCCCTCCTACTTTCAAAGGTAGAGAAAACGGGTTGACAGTCGATTTGTCTGAAGCTCTCGTAAATCTCAACCCCCAATTTTTGAGGTTCCCTGGGGGTAATAACCTGTGAGTTGCCTTGGTATCTTTATCAACTGCAAGTCCATGATTTATTCACTGATTACTCATTTCGCAGTGAGGGAGGCGGCCCACATGATCGCTGGAAATGGAATGAGACACTAGGTTCTCTCGAATCTCGACCAGGACGTTGGGGTAAGGTCCCTTTGCACTATGATGTTACTGCGATGTAAGGACACTGACTGGTGCTCTTCACACTTGGGTAGGGACTTGGGGTTATGTCAACACTGACGGTCTTGGCCTTATGGAATATCTCCAGTGGTGTGAGGATATGTCTTTGGAGCCTATCCTAGACGTATGGGCCGGCCTCGGACTTGCGGGGCTCCCACCATTAGTAGGAGATGAGCTTGAGCCGTATGTTGACGATGCAGTCCGCGAGATTGAGGTATGTTGTTTACCTCCCTACGTTACTACACATCAGGATGTCGTACTGAAGAACGTCTTAGTTCGTCATTGGTGACATCAATACGTCCGGTGGGGCACTTCGCGCGTCTCTCGGACACCCGGAGCCGTACCAGCTCAAGTTCGTCGAGGTTGGGAACGAAGACAATCTCGCCGGTGGTTGTGAGACTTACAAGCAGCGATTCTTGCAATTCTTCGACGCTATTAAGGAGGCATATCCGCAAATAACTGTCCTTACCTCCACGTCTGACCGAGCCTGTCTGCCGGATCCGATTCCCGAAGGCGTATGGCTTGACTTCCACGACTACAATGTGCCGGAGAATTACATCAACGCATATGACTTCTACGACGACTGGGATCGCGCTCACCCCGTTTTCATCGGTGAATATGCCAGGTGGGGCGTCAAATGGTCCGATATGCGAGGCGCCTGCTCCGAGGCAGTCTATATGATGGGCTGGGAGCGTAACGCGGACGTGATCAAACTGGCTGCCTACGCACCTACACTACAGAATTACGATCCTGTCAACGGACAATGGACTGTAAGATACTGTTGCTCTTATGGAAAAGAAATGTCATGCTGACTTAGGTATCTTGGGTTAGCCCAATCTCATTCCCTTTACTAACAAACCTGATGGCATTGTTTACACTCCATCTTATCACGTCAAAAAAATGTTTGCCAATAACCATGGCGATGTCGTTGTCCCCGTTACAGCTGACGCAGAGCTCAATCCTGGTAGGTTCAAATCGCTCATCACCCTAAAGCCTTCGATCGCAACTGACCTCAAAATTCTTGTTCAATCAGTCTGGTGGGCAGCAAGCATAAAGGGAGAGGGCCAAGTAATCGTGAAACTAGCCAACTATGCTTCTAACTCGACCCAGATTCGCATACAAATCCCTGGCAAGGCAAACGTAAAGGCATCCTTTACCTCAATCACTGCCGGTCCCGATGATGCTAACTCGGTCGAAAACCCCACACTTGTTTCCGCCCCCGCTGTGCTGGAAGTGCTTGGAAACGCTGACGGTATATTTGCCATTGAACTAGGGCAGTTCGGCGTTGGTGTACTCGCAGCCTAAGGGAGGTGTACGTCAACGTAAACTATGAAGGATCATTGCAGTGATCTTTACGCGACAAGCGCGACTGTTAGTGCTTAGGCTCATAGCTTCGGTTGAGTCATTGCACGACGGTCTGAACTTCGATTCATTCCCAGATGATCACGGATATAGTTGAATATCGTCTGTAGATCGTATTGGTCTATTTAATATAACGGCCCTCGCCCACGAAGTTTTATGTTCCGGAAGTGGCCAGTCAACCAGAACAATCATACGAGTAGCTGATTTCAATCGTACCGACGGTCTAACTGTCAACCCGTCCTGTAACGCCCAGTTCTGCCAGCTGCTTTGTAAACCGTTAGGCGGCTGTGGTGTGCTGGCAGGGCATGTCACGCTTCAGTTCCATCTACGCTCTTGTGGGGGAATCATACGGACGAACTTCGACCGAAGACAACGTCTATTAAACTGAATTCCAACCGTCCTGAAAATATTTGATCAGAAATCCAGCGCATGATTCGAACTCGGCACGACAGCGAACTAACCTGCCAGATTCAAGTTTTCTTTTCGGTCTCTACAACCGGGCTTTCATTCTTCCCCTACATAAGGTATTATCTGACACAACAAAACTCAACATGGTGAACATCGCCATTGCCGGAGGGAATGGCGGCGTTGGGCGTAGCATTGTTAATGCACTCAAAAATGACCCAAGACACTCCACCGCCATCCTCTCTCGCACAGTATGCCATGATTCTTATTCCAATCAAGTTTCACCCTCGTACAAATTTATCTTTGCTCACAAACGTTATTTGTACGCAGGCAGCGGCAGAAGATAAAGTTGGCGTTCCTGTCGTGGCAGTCAATTATGACGACAGAACATCCCTGCAGACGACCTTGGAAACCCATGAGATTCACACCGTGATATCAGCTCTAGCCCTACACATCATAGGGGTTGGCCAGGCCCAGATCAACCTCATTCGAGCAGCCGACAAGAGCAAGCCTACCCAGCGTTTTATTAGTAGTAGCTGGGCTGTCAGACCTTCGACTCGGTGAGTGATATTTAATTCCTTACTGCTTGTTCTGGAAATGACCTATGAACCTAACCGGAGTCTTTGTAGGTACTTGAGTCTTTTACCACACGGTTTCCAACGTATCGCTTCCTACAGCGAGTTGGAAAACTCACAACTTGAGTGGACAGCGTTCAATTGTGGGTGGTTCCTCGACTATTACGCAATGCCTCATGTTGAGACCTACATTCCGCAAACAACCTTTGTTGTTGACATGGCCAATAAGCAAGCCTCGATACCTGGAGACGGGAAGCAACAAATGACCTTCACCTACACCAAAGATGTCGCCAGATTCGTTGTGGAAGCTCTCGACCTAATCGTATGGGAGCACGACACATATCTCATTGGTGACGAAATGACCTGGGAAGAATTCGTCGTAATAGCTGAAGATGCTCGTGGTGGTGAGAACCAGTTCCCCAAAGTACGGTCTTGATCGACCTACTAAGATTTTACTTTGAATAGGGGAGAAGTTCAATGTCTCATACGATAGCGTTCAAAAGCTCCAATTTGGTGAAGTCACCGAGCTGCCAGGCCAGGTTGCTGCATACTCGTACTTTCCGAAACAGTGGACTCAGAAGCTCTTCTCCACCTTCGGTTTTTGGGTCACTGAGGGCCTCTTCGATTTCCCAAAGGATAGGGCTCTGAATCAGGTATTTCCACATCTGAATGTTACTGGAGTAAAGGAAATGCTTCAAAAGTCATGGAAAGGCCAATGGTGTATCGGAAATGGTGTCACCATGTCACCAAGGCAGCATCAACAACTGTATCTTCTCTCAACATACCTCTCAGTTTAGTCATGTTCCATACTTATCACTGAGCAGAGCTCAAGCTCAACTGGAGTAGTATCAACGTGGATACGTCCATGAATAAAGCAAATTTGCCATCAAAGTATAGTAGATGATCGGATATGAGCCGTTGATCCATGGAGACCTTGTGACGGGATGAGAAGCCCGTCGACTTGTTGTATCTCTGTCAAGTACATGTACTTATTTAGGTAGTAAAGTAGGATGCCAGAGATAATGTCCCAGCTCGCCATTGCAGGGCCCCCGCTTTCGGACAAGGATATGTTGATCATTTCTCGTTCTTCACCTTTGTTTGCGGTCATCTCGTGCTCTCAAGGGGAATTGGGGTTATTTGTATTACAGTAGTAGTCAAGAACTAATTATTTCGGGAATAAACGTGCACAGACGGATATTATATAGCGGATGCAATGGGAGAATGGAATCTGGGAAACGTCGTAGACAGTGGGGAGCATAGGCAAAACTCGCAGCGCATGTCGTTTTGGTCAGCGCAATCCATATCTCACATCAATAGTGCCTCAGTATGCATTCCATTCGCGAGGGCGTAAAGCTAGAACTGATTGACTGGTACTTCTCTCTGGATGAGAAATGCACAGTTGGCATATTTTTTCCAGACTGACAGTCGTCCGCCTCGGGCTCCGCGTCCGACGGTCGAATGTGACCAGGCATGATTAATGATCATACCCAAGCTCGTCTTCGCCAAAGTCTTCCATTCCAAGGATAATTATCTCCATACCACGGCGCTAGAGTCAAAAGCGGCTTTGACATTGCTCCGAGTCTAAGTGACATGGAACCGAGTAAAACTTCTTAGCACCAAGATCGCCTTTCCTCGCTTACCAAGTTCTTTTTGTTCGCCTTTTGGTGACAGTCTTCTAAAGAACAGCATGAATGGTGATTTTTTCCAACTTTACAGTTTAACTGCCAATATAAGGTTGTGCGGTAGATGGATAAATGAACTTTGATTTTTATTTCACTGCACCCGCAGTCTTTTTGTCAACTTAACTCTAATTCCAAGCGCAGAAACATGAGATTACACCTGCCCACATTCTTCACGCTCTTTCAGTTGATTGTGGCACTCGAAAAGAAATCTGGAGTCACGATGGCTTCCCCAGAGGAGCTTGAACTTCACGTTCCAGACCCCAGGATCGAAGATTTCACATCGCTCCTCTCTGCTTCGAAGATTGGTCCCGAAACCTGGTATAATACTGACAACAACACGGATTTTGGCACCACCAAGAACTGGCTCGCTAAAGCGAAAGATGCGTGGCTTGAGCTTGACTGGCGGAAGCAAGAAGACCGCATCAATAGCTTCCCCAACTTCAACATCACCATTAATGACGTCGATGTTGGACCCATAAACATTCATTTCGTTGGTCTTTACTCCAAGAGAAACGATGCCTTACCGCTGCTCTTTCTACATGGGTGGCCCGGGTCTTTTCTCGAGTTCCTTCCACTGCTTGATATTTTGAGAAGCAAATACACCCAAGAGACTCTTCCTTACCATGTCATCGTTCCCTCTTTACCGGACTATGGACTTTCCAGTGGGCTTGTCGAAACTGAGCTCACGCTTGAGATAGCGGCGAGGCTTATGAACGAGCTTATGGTCGCTCTTGGTTTCGAGTCGGGTTATGTTGCCCAGGGTGGTGACATCGGTAGCTTCCTCGCCAGAATTCTGTCAGCCAGTCATCCACAGTGCAAAGCTTTCCACAGTAAGCAATACTAGCCCAGAATTTCCGGTGGGTGTCCAGTTTTGTACTAACGGCCAGATAGTTAATATGCTTGCTCCAGGATCCCAGGAGGAGCTTCTTACTACGGTCAACATCACCGATGCTGAGACACAGCACGTACAGCGAATGCTAAACTTCAGCGCTACCGGGTCATCGTATCTTCTCGAGCATGGCCTAAGACCGTCGACAATTGGTCTCGTTCTACCATCAAATCCACTTGCCATGTTGGCCTGGTAAGCTCCATGTCATGTCATGACTTCAAGGATATTGTTGTCGCCTAACATTATCTAGGATTGGCGAGAAGTTCCTCGAGTGGCCTGACTCTCGTTATCTACTTCCTGTGGACACAATCTTCAGGATGGTGAGCTTTTACTGGTACACAGACACTTTCCCAAGAAGCATGTATCCCTATCGAGCTCTTGCGGGGGCAGCAGCAGCAAATGTTCTCTTTTCTGTTCCCACGTCCAAAGAAAAGCCATTTGGCTATTCGGTGTTTCCGGCGGAGAATATTCTCTTGCCGAAAGCATGGGCTGAGAAGGTCCATCCAAATCTTGTCTTCTACAAGCGCAATGAAAAGGTTCGCCTGCTTCCACCAATAGCTCGTGTGTTCACGTTCTGCGTCTAACTAAATACTTTAGGGGGGACATTTCGCGGCATTGGAGCAGCCCGGCCTCTTTCTCCAGAATATTGAAGAGTTTTTAGCGGTTGCTCGACCACTTATCGGACTTTGATGAGTTGGCAGGTGAGGTCGTCCACGTCTAGTTGTACTTGAATAGGGGGATTGAGTTACGCTTTTCTCGTGTTGGTGAAACGCCTCATCACAGTGGCACAGCTACTCTGGTTACCAATGCCTTCCGAAGGTAGTGGAATTGATGGAATTTGGACTCAGGGACTCGCTATTCTGAAGGTATTATACTAGAGCGATGCCCGTAATGTCACCCAACTCGGAAAATAACACAGTCTTCTTGTGAGTTTTCGTATTAACGGAGTAGACGCCGCCAGCAAGGTCTGTCACGTAGGCCACTCCCGCCAGCTGGTCCAACGATAAACCAATCGCTTCGTGTAATCGTACTGCCAGAGTTTCCTGTTTCTCACCACTAGGAATCATGGCTCGATTCAGAGTATTTCCAGCAGGAGGATCTCCACGATCTGTCCAATATATCACGCCATTTTCCTCGTCGATGTCAAGATCAATTGGCTCGGGAAGCCCGCCGACTACCGTCTCAATTTGATGGAATCGGTCTTCGAAAGAGGCATGTATAGGCGCGCGGAAAATCCGCCCTTGGTTGCCCTTGGATGGCCCTTTCTGTGTCCAATAGAAGGCGTTTTGCTGTTCGTCAACAGTAACACCAACGCACCACCTTCTTTGATCCACTCTCTCTTCATCAGTGTTGCCAGTTGAGACGAGGACCTCGACATCAGAGCCATCGAAATTGGCCCGCATGACCTTCATTCCCTCACGATCGCACCAGTACAGCTTCTTGCTTTGCTTGGCGATAGTGATTTGCTTCGGCGTGAAGACACCAACGGTACCTGCCGATACAATGCTTTGTCGGTTCGACCCATCCAAGTTGGCGCGCTCGATTGAACCATCATTGGACTTCAAGCTAGATCCCATGTTGGTCCAGTACATATGACCATTGGCATGATCAATCACAACCCCGTCAGGCAGATTCACCATGTTGTCGACTACTGTTCGCAGGTCGCTTCCGTCGGGTAGACATGATAAGATGCGTCCACGGCGACTCTCGGGCGGGTGTGATAAGTCAGTGTCGAGGATGTAGAGGCGTTGTTGGATTTGAGAACCCATGTCGCTTACTCATTGAGGTTTTCGATCAAGGTGTCGAAGGGTAATGCAGTAAGTTAAGATAGTCAGTTGATCAACAAACTTTGGTCGGTCATCTTTTCGAAATCAGATACATGGCCAAGAGCTGGGTTTATGACCTAGCGTTTTCTGTGTGTGGGCGTATTTGTGTCAGTGGAGGCCTTCGGATCATCAGACGAAGTAGAACAGTTTTCCTCTTCGTCGTTTTTTCATTGCCCTGCGTTGCGCGTCGATCCGCTCTCGGCCACTCCTGTATTCCCGATCAAGTCGGTATTCGCACTTCGGTCTACGTGACACGCGCATAGCGTTGTTGTATCTGTAGGTCCACACTGTTGTCATGTAACACGGATCTGATTTCTTTCGAACGGGATGAATTCCGCACTGGTCAGGGAGCCTCCACTCTGCTAATCTTGTATCCACCCCCTGTTCCGCCCACATGGCACCCCGGTTGAGCGGCCATTGACGTTTGTGAGAATCGGCACATCACAGCTAGAATACTATGTAACGAAGAATAGATCGAGGGGCAAAGCACGTGGCATACCGAACACTCGGGTTCCATGCACCTGGAATCTTGCGCGAGTATCCTTCTATTTCTGTGTCTCCGCATCACTTACATGGCAGCCTTCTGGCGCTCGGCGACTGTAGTATTGCTCATTTACCCACCTACTCAAGCTGCATGCTCTGGCCCAACTCATGACTGACATCCATGTGTTATTGGAATATAAAGGGATCAGCTGCATAAGTACCCACCGGAAATTCCGGAAGGAAATGAAGTGGCTAAGTAGAACCGAACACACGAATCATTTGTAATACCAAGTCTATGTTGAGAATATCTAAGAACAGGCTCTGAATGGAAAGGAACGAAAGCTCGCATGCAGTGGATCAACCCTCCATGCTACTCTGCGATCGGGTCCTTACTCGTGTCCGCATAGCTATCCCACTCTTTCCTTACGTTTAGGAGTCGTACCAATTCCTCATCTCGCTGCTTTGCGAGTTGTCTATAAGCCCTGTCATCCACAGCCTGCCTCGTTCCCGAGACCCATTTCTGCCTCAATTCTTCTGTGACTTGAGGGTCTTCAGGTGCGTACCAGGACATCAGGGGACCCAGCAAATGATCCGCCATGTACTCGATTCCGCCCTCACCGCCTCCCAAGTGCATCAACATGTTCGGACCCATGACGCCCCACCGGAGACCGGGGCCGTAACTCATTGCTTTGTCAATATCCTCAACACCGGCAACATCCTTCTGCAGTAGGTACATGACCTCTCTCATCAAGGCTGCCTGGAGACGGTTGGCAACATGACCGACGACTTCTTTTTTAACGTGCACTGCCTTCTTCCCCATCCTTTCGTAAAACTCCATGGTGGTACTGACGGTTTCAGATAATGTCTGGCTACCGGCAACTACCTCCACAAGGGGGATGAGGTGCGGAGGGTTGAAAGGATGGCCAACGACACATCTTTCAGGCCAGCTTGATGGATCCATTCCGAGCTGTATACTTGAACAAGTCAGGCCACTGCTGCTCGTAGCAATGATTGTGGTTGGCCGAACAATGTTCGCCATGTCGTTGAACAATCTCCGCTTGAAATCCAGTTTCTCCGGTCCGTTTTCTTGTACAAAATCGGCGTCTGTGAGAGCCTCCTTCATGTTCGTCGTGAATAAAATGTTTTCGGCTTTCGCTGCGGCGTTCTTGACGAGACCCAGCGTCGAGAGAATGGGTAGTGCGTCAGTGACAAGGGATCGAAGGAACGTTTCGGCAACAGGGTTGACATCGAAAGCCGATACTTGGAGGCCTTGTGCTAGGAAAAGAGCAGCCCAAGAGGCTCCGATAGAGCCACAACCGACAATGGCGACTTTTTGAATATGCGACATGTTCAAAAAAAAGTACAAATACGGACAGAGGGGTTTTTTGAGAATTGAGTAAACGGCGTGAGTTTTGAAGAGGCTGCTATGTTACGGTATGTTGGTCCGATGATGGTTATGTATTATAGTTGTTGAAGATTGCCGGATTGAGAGAAGCAGAATGAAGCAACGTGGCCGCCGGGGGGAAAGGTGAAGTTTGACATTTATGGTAAAAACCAAGAGAAGCAAGCACCTATTGATTACCTGTGGTGGCTGAACTTGAGGACAAAGCCAGCGTTCTGAATTCAAGAGATCGGGTTCTCGTGGATACATGCAACAGAGGCCTGCTTGCCGGCACCTCCGAGATGGAGAAGAAGACCACCGGGCCAATGTTGGAGCTCAAAGTCTCGAACTCCGAATAGTTGTAATGTGAAGAGCCCACAACGCCGACGAGTGGACACCGATAAAGATACCGATCTATGGGGTAACGGGCATAATTCCGCGCGCGGAATAAGACTGGTGGGTCCGCGACTCACGCGCCAGCTCCGGATCGCCAAGCTTGGCTCTCCCGGCCCCATGCAACTGCCGCTAAATATTCCAGAAAACTTCTGTCGAGATGGATCCCCACGAGTTGAAACAAGATCCTGTTGCAAAGAAACCAGGTCAGCATCACACCGGTACGGGATACGGAATGGCCAAATGTGGTCTCCGTTGAGACCCAACGTCATCAATGCTACGTAAGCTAGTAGGTGGCCATGCTCACGATCCTGGCTTTTGCTTGAGACCTCGACCTCGACCTCCGGCTTTCGCATTCATTTCGCACCCGATATGTGGATCCCATTCACGCAGCATTCGGCTCACCCTGAGCGTTGACATGAGTCCGAGCAACGTCATTCTTCTCCGTCCTCTTCCCCACAACGTCGGCCTCGTGCCGCATATTCCCGCAATGCTCCAGGGGGCAATTCTTCCGACAACGGTCACACCGGATCGCTTTGCGGTCCTCCCGAAATCCCTGATGTCACGTTCCGCTCTATATCCGCGAGGTTCGTTGTTGGCAACCGCGCAGTCCTTGAGGCGAAGTTTGTTGAAGAACATCATATTTAAATCTACCACCTTCGTGACCAACCTACCTTTCCGCTTCATCATCACATTTAAACACCACATCTAAGGGTCTCAACCTGAATCGACACGGCTTCATACACCCTATTCAGACTTGTGCACCTCATAATTATCAACCTTGCCCGTCACTATGGCACCAGAAAGGATTCCCGATGTTTATGGTCCGGGCACCTTCACAGACAAGACCTTCATCCCCGTACCCGAAGACACGGAGCGGATTTTTCGTGTCATAGCAAGCCAAACTCCGGGCTTTACGCAAGATGAGCGTCTTCTTTCTAAAGTCAAATTTACCGGAGAGGCGTACCCCGTCATTCCCGGCCCCATCAAGGCAGTTTCTGTCGCCGCTGCTCTCCACGCCATGACTGGCGTGCTTGCGGATGAAATCTTAGCCATCCGCGGCGTCAACAAGGACGACAGACAGATCTCTGTCAACACCACACACGCAGCTGTCTGGTTTGGCTGCATAGCGACTGCGTTCCTCGATGGTGTGGATGTTGTCAGCATGGTCAAACAGGGCAAACTCAAGAGCCTTTTACCTGATTGGGAACAGGGTTGGACCGACACTGCCCTCAAATACCGTGCGACTGGCCTCTACCCAACCAGCAATCCTGAAGTGTGGTACTCTCTTCACGGTAGCATGAACGCAGATCCAGTCTTGCGCTCTATCGGCGTTGACCCGTCAGCACCCATCAAGTCCAACGATGAGGCGGCCGCGCACATTGCTGAGCACACCTCAAAGCTAAGCCCAGAGAAAATGGAGATCACAAACCTTTTGAATGGATTTTGTGGCAGCATCTGCTTTAGTCCTAAACAGTGGCGCGAGTCTGAGATGGGACGGTCTCTTTCCAGGCACCCTCTGGTCAATGTAAAAAAGCAGGAGCAGACGTTGCCCACACCGCCGATCGCTTTTCCACCTCTCAGCCCCCAAGACAAACGACCTTTAGCAGGGGTCAAGGTTGTGGAAATGACCCGAGTCATCGCTGGGCCAGAGATTGGGACGATTCTTGCTTCATACGGCGCAGATGTAATCCGCATCAACCCTCCCCATCTTCCGGATATCAACATCATGCAGCTCTCATTGAACGCTGGCAAACGCACGATCGCCATTGATCTGCGAAAAGAGGAAGATGCTTCGATTCTCAAATCGCTCGTTTCCGACTGCGATGTGTTCATCCAGGGTTTCCGCATCAACAAGATGCCCAAATTTGGCCTTGGGCTGAACGACCTCTTGAAGATGGCTGGTGATCGTGGCCGAGGAATCGTGTATGTCACAGAAAACTGCTATGGACCGGATGGATATTATGCCGAACGACCCGGCTGGCAACAAATCGCCGACGCTGCGGCTGGCTCTGCCTATGTCACAGGAAGATCTTTAGGACTTCCCGGCAACGAGGCCGTTCTCCCTAGCTTGCCCATTTCCGACATGTCCACCGGTGTCTTGGGCGCGGTCGGCGCAATGCTAGGACTGAAGCGACGGGCAACTGAGGGTGGAAGCTACTATTCACATGCCAGTCTTGTGGGGGTCAACGCCTATGCCCTCACCGAAGAGGTCGGCCTCTATCCTAAGAACACTGTGGAAGAGTGCAAAGAGCGCTTCCAATGGGGAGAAATGAGGGGTGCTCATCATGTTCTGGATCTTCTAGTAACTGTCTGGAATGGATGGACAAAGGTTCTTGGCAACTTTTTCGACCCCGAAGGCGAATGGTTCCAGAGCTTTGATTCAAGTGCCTTTGACAGGAAGCGCTTGAGTATTCTGAGACCTGTGGTCAAATTTGAGGGCGAAAAAGAAACATCTCCTGAGTGGAAAACTCCGAGTGTTCCGTACGCATTCGAGAAGGCTGAATCCGTCAAATTCCTTTGAAACCCTTTTCCATGTAATTATAGCATGTTAATA